CAAACTAAAGTTCAGCTGATCTTGTATTATTATAGTCTAAGTTATGAAAAATATTGATTACATTTTTTATTTAAAAAAAATTAAGTTTCAAATCAGTCAGCCTTTTGCGCCAACTTAACTTGTTATAACAGAAGTTAAAAGATCGAGATGAATGGAAATCCTAAAATAAATAGATTCTTGAATTTGAATATGACCTTTGTCTATACATATTTTTAAAAGAAAAAAAAAATATTAACACCTTTAAAAGACATAACTTTTTTCAAAATAATACATGTATTTCCAATTTTATAATTTACAATATATTTTTCATTTTTTGTTTTAAAAATATATATCAATCAGAAACATCCCGTAAAACTATGTGAAATGAACAAATGTGTCTTATTCGATTTCACAAAATTGCATTCTCATTTTTCAATTTAGTAACGATGTGTTTTAAATTGATATAATTTTCTTCTGTTTTCTTTTCTTGTTTCAATCTACTCATGTATAAACAGATTCTTTCTGCTCCATATCACTTCCAGCATATGTACATATATTTATTGTATAATAGAAACTATTTTTTTAATAAAAAATGTGTTAATACCAGTTAAAGCTAATCTATCTTTTGAGGATTAAAACTATGTGTTCACTTTTCTTACTCTTTTGAATTGAAAAAGAAAAAAATATTTAAAATATTAAAACATCGTTTTAGAATGTTTTCACTAAAATAGAACCTATATTTAGCCATATTTAGAAAATCAATTATACAAAAACTGATCTACTGTGTTTAAATTCATCATTGCAACCAAAGTTTGAGTACACTTGTTGCAAAAATTTGTATAAGAATACAAATATCGTTTAGAGAGAAATAAGAGAAAAAAGTGTGAAGGAATAGGTTCGATAAAATTATCGATAAGCTTTAACAATTTTAATTGTCTAAACTACATTATGAATAACTCATATTGAAATAAAAAATTTTTTGTTTTTGATTTCTCATTTGCTTTATTATTAATTTTTTTTTTACGAAGGCGAATAAAGTCCCAAAAACACTAGAAAAGAGGAAAAATGGAAAAAAGTTGAAAAAAGTCTTGGCTTTTTTGAATTTGAGTTACCAATAGAATTGAAATGGAAAATTAGGTAACTAAAAAAGTACGGCGTAAAGAAAATAATTATGATTCATCAAAGATAAAATGTGAATAAGAATGCTGGAAAAATGTTTGAGGAAATTAGTGCAATATTTTTTGTTAAGGGTTGTTAAAGAAGAACTGACGCCAGCTTTCTAATGTGAAAATAGAACTTAAAAATTATATGTTGATGAAGTAGAATATAAAATTCGAAAAGAAGTTCTAGATTTAAAAATTCAAAAAAAAATCTAATAGTGTTTGTAAAAGTGTTTGCGAAAGCGTTTAGGTTAACCAAAAGTGTTTAATATAAATCTAGTAAAGGTGGCAGCGTCGTCGAAGAGGAAGGCCTCATCAGAAATAAGAGGCCTCGCTATTATGAACGACACAGCCACCACTAACAGACGCGGATCAGTAGATGGTGTTATAACAAGATGTGGATTATGTTCACTTTTATCCAGTCTCTTGAGACGCGCTATGTGCGTTGGTTCTCGTCGTGGAAGTGGAGAATCCTATTATCAAGAGCTTGCTGAAACTACGGTAAGTCACACGCGATCTTTTCTTTACTATTTTTCTTGTTAAGCTTTTTCTTAAATTTTTTTAATTTCCCTCGCTTAAAAGAAATTAAATTCTTAAGAAAGCCACGAAGCTTTACAAAAATATTCATTAAAATTTTCATTATCATTTAACTAGCAACAATATTCCAATATATAACAAATAATAATATAGGAGTAAAAATTGTAGCCAGAGTGGAATTATGAAGCAACTCCTTTTCCTTACTTATAATTTTTATTTTAAACGTTTTAAGTAAGGTGAGAATTTGAAATAGATTAACTATAAATAATCCATTTTTCAAACAATAATTATAGGTTTGATCCGATTTAATTTGTTTATTCATAGAATTTTAATTATTTTCATCAATCCTAATTTCATAAACCAATTTTTAAACATTATGATTATTTTGGAAAATAATTTAAATCTGACATCTTCTCGTTTCTATTAAAACGGCTTCACAAACCCTAATTTTGGCGATTCTATTTATAATTTCATTTATTTAGCGACAACGAAATACGAGTTTAACTTATATTTACTCATTTTATTTAATTGCGCAATACAAGATAAATGAAATGTACATATTTTATTGCACGTCTAATTATACTCAATTGCACTTATTAGGATGTCTCGTGTACTTAAGCGATTAGAGGTCAATATTTTCATAATATATTTTTCTCAAATCAACGAGAACCAAGCACATTTTTAAAACTCGATAAATTAACTTCTTTGTTCAAAATTTTTGCGGCACTTAAAGACATGCTTTCTCTTGAAAAAGGCTGAAAATATTACGTAATGTTTTGCCTATCCGTATTTCTGCCGAAAAACCAATCTTGATGCAGACTCGTAGTCAGGGGAGATTTTAATTTTTTTAGAGTGTAAAACTTAATAAAGGTCAAATATATAATGATTATAAAAATTTAACTCAACAAAAAATAAAAGAAGTAGGGAAATTCATTGCAGGGTTTTATATTATTATAGTGGCTTAATTTTCGAATTCTCAAGTACTCATAAATTAGTGTAATTTATAGGTCGACCCAATAACACGAAAAATTCTATTATTTTTATGCATTGTACAAAATAATTCTTTTGAAAACAGGAAAATGTAAAAAAAGAACATTTGAGAACTTGCTGTCGTGTGTAAACCAAATGAACCTTTATAAACTAATACTATTTTTGATATTAAAAAATGTTTTTCCTGAGAATTAGTGCTTCCGTTTATTCTAATTTTCTTCAAATTACTTTTATTTTTTACATTAATAATTCATCTTTTTAAATAGCTTGTTAAATTTCAAAAATTAACTCACTTTTGTAAATCATCGAAAATCGTAAAGAACTACAATGCAAAAAAGGATGAATATTAAAAATAATAATAATAACAAAAGTTGTCTTGACCAAGGATTAGACCCAACACAAAGTATATTTGTGCTTCAGATTTTTAGTAAATTATAAATTATGGATAGCTACATAGGTATTAAAAAAAATAAACAAAAATTCCTTGTGCCTAATCGAATGACTTTAATACAATTTTGTCGATTTTAGAGTATTAGTATGATCAAAACAATTCAGGTACATAGCCTCAGGGGAGAAGGGGGGGATTGGGTGACAACTCTTCATTGTGCTAGGGTTTTTAAGAAAATATCCTCTTGGTTTAAGTACTTGTTAAGATAATAATGAATAAAGTTATATAGATCGACAATATTAAGATTACATTAAGATTACATAGCTACATCTATATGTATACACGTGTAATAATTTAAAATCTAAATAATGAAAAAACAAAAATTAAAATACATGGTGTCTTTATTGAACAACAGAATAAATTCTCCTCGGCTACGAGTATTATTTTGAAAGATTTATTTATTTTTTTACTTTTATACTCAAGTTTGGGACAAAATTTAAAAAAAAAATCTCTTTTGAAACTTTTTTGAACTTTTTCGATTTACGATCCCAAGGTTATTTTTTCTAATAAAAAACATTAAATTTGACTATTACGCCAAATTACAGGTCATTTAGTGTTGTTTTATAATTTAGCAGCTCTTGCCCTATTTTGAAAAACCTTAAAACCGCATTTCTAGAATTGTGACTTAAAAACAAAATCAAGTATTGTCTTCGAACTTTTTATGATCATTTATGATAAGCACTGGTAATTAATTAATAAATTCCAAAAAATTTTTTAAATCTTCAGTTTGATTAAGAAAGTCTTAATTGGAAAAGTTTGTCATGAGAAAAGTGAATCCATTTTTTTTTTGCTGAACAAATTTAAGTCCATATGAAGGTACTGATTTGAAAAGTTTTATTACTCATCAAACTTTATAATAATATTTGTTTGTGACTAAGTTTTCCAAAATTATTTTTTAAATGTGTTCACTTACAAAACTCCCTGTAATTTTAAAAGATTTGAAAATTTGACCAAATTCAAACGACGTAAGATTTTTTTTAAAAAAATAAAAACTGGAGTATTTTTTCATGATTTTTGTTCCATATGTGATAATGGCATGCACAATTTATACAAGCTCAAAGCAAGTTTTTAGAGAATCTATTACAATTTTAAATTTCTAGGCGAAAGAAAAAATAAATGAAGATATTACCAAGTATTACATTCCTAATTAATGTTAACAAAACTAATAAAATACAAAAGATGCAATACGTTAACAACTAGAACTTATCATATGAACACATTTCATACATCTTGAATTAATAAAGAATATAAGAATATTTTAAAAAATTTTTTTACGCAATATTTCTCATTTCAGGCTCCAGAAGTAGCCACAATGGAATCAACAAACGATACTATTTACATACGCTTGATACGTAAGTAAAAAAATTACAATATACTCAAATTGAATTAAAATTTGGTTCTTTATCTGGAGTAATGTCAGTTAAAGAAGCCAAATTATATGAAAGAAAAAATTATGTATTTGGGAGTAAATTTTAAATACTAAGATATATACAATGTTCGAAGGAAGCATATTTGTTAGAGTCTTTTTAAAAAAATAATGTTTTTTTTTATTTTTGAAATGGGTAATTTTTTTTAAAAATAAGTTTCATCAAAAATTAAGTGAGAATGACAGGTACTAGGAGTGAAATCAGATGGGTTAGTTTCTGGCTACGTCTCTGATAGATGGATACATTTTTCATCAAAAAAGATGATCATTTTTAAAAGTGTTCAATTTTTAAAAAAAGAAAACATTATTTTTTTATATTTATAATTTTTCTCGGATTGATGTCATCCAACATTTATTTGCTATTAACTATAGTATTTCTGTACACTTTGTATTTGCAAATTGTAATAAAAAAAAGAAAGTGTGTTTTATACGAAAAAAAGATTTGAATTTTTATGACTAAAGAAAGATATTTAAAAATATTTTTGTGATATATTTTTAAATTTTATTTGTGTAAATCAGAAAAGAAAAAAATTTATTTTTGTTCATGTTCTCAAAATGCTAATGTAGCAAATCTGAGCTATGTATATTGATAAAAACGCGTTAAAAAATACTATTACTTTCAACTTTCACGCAAAAGCGCGTATTTCTCAATTTTTTTTCAACTTTTTGATGATTTTAAAACAAAAACAGTTTTTTTTGTATTAAGTCATTAGAATACTGTAGCAAAATTTGTAGTTTCTCGCATCATTATAGATGTAATTCTTGGATTATCTCTCTAAAATTGTAGAAAAAGGATAAATTTATTTTGATATGGGTAAAAAAGATGAAACAATAATATAATATTAAAATATCTTACTGGAGCCATATGTCCTGCACGGTTAAGCTGCAAGAGAAAATAAAAATTAAATATTTATGATAAGTGGAAAATATAATGAGTGTACCCAATACATGCTGAATTTGCCAAACTTTCGTAGATACCCTTCCAAATTTTCATTCACACTAATACCTGTACGTGGAGCACTTGCATAATTTTCTCTTCCATACCAGTTCATACGGTTAATCCATTCTACTGTCCCAGGAGTTGAACAAATCAAATCTAGCTGGCCATTATAAACAACAACATTGACTGAGGTTTCATTTAAAACCTTTTCTACGACATTGACAACAGGTTTCATAAAATCACCTGCTAGTGTATCAAATACGGCACCTTGCTGTGAACCGAAAATAACCTCATTCGTAAGGTTTAGTGCAGGGTGTACTCTTGTTCTCATCATTGTATTTAATGACAGTGGGACTGGAGAATCGTAGAGAGAATTTTCTAATCGACGATAGTTTACCATCAATTCATAAGCTGAATCTCGAGGTGTAATTGATCCTAAAATTTTTGCTTTTTCTGATATTTCACCTCGATAAGGTATATCATATTGAACATTATAAAAGTCAATAGCTCTAGCTTCTTCTTCTAATATTACTTCGGTCATATACCACAAATCTGTTGCTAAAGTATATTGTCCCTGTTTAAGAACTCGCTCTGTTCTTTGTGCCATATTGTTTATCTTTTGAAATCCATCAACGTCTATGAAACCCTGTAACATGGATGAAATTATTTTATTAATATTTCAATTAAAACTTATATCATACCAAATTCAACAGATATGGTGCCCATGATAAAGTATAATCGATAGGAGATGTCCAAGCATCACCCAAATATACGCCAACAAGATTTGATTCAATCGTACCTTGTTGTATTTCTAAATTAAGTTCATATGCAAATTCGATTGCCATTTTTCCACCATATGATTCTCCAAAAATATGCAACGGTACATTCTTAAACTCAGGTAAAACATTATATACGCCTTTGAGAAGTGAAACTAAATCTTTTGCAATTTGTTTGTTATCAGTCGTAAGATAACGCATATCATCGACATAGCTGAAACCAGTACCGACTGGATTATCAACAAATAAAACCTATAATATAATTAATTGAATAAGATAACCAATCAGTTTTTTTCACTTATTTAAATTGGATAAAGTTCTTACATTGTGAGTATTAACCCATGTAAAATTCCTTGTTTGTTCTGCCAAATCTATTGGTCCAAGTATTTCAAAATTTCCATATCCTGTTGAGCTCGAACCAGGACCTCCTTGAAGCCACAAAATTAACGGCCTTTCCGTAAAATTATTCACATTAGCTTTTGTAAAATGCATCCACCAAAACATATGAGCTCCTTCTCTAACGTCTATTTTTCAATATAATGATGTAAAGATTGTTCAAAAATTGCAAGTTCTCAGTAAATTATGAAATGAGTAAATTACGATATTTACCGACATATCCCCAATTCTGTGGATTCTCTGTTGGAAAACCATCATATCTAACATCTGAAATAAATAAATTATCTTTTTTATAAAATCTTACTTACACTGTTTAACTTACCTATAGCCTCATTGAATGATAGTGAATAAAGTACTAAAGTCAGCTTAAAGATAAACGTTTTCATTTTGATTATTTCTGTAAAATTTTCCGTTTCTTTTGACTTGCAACTTATCGAATAAAAGTCGTATAGCCAACTGACTGAAATTAAGGTTACCTTTCCAATCAGAAAATTTATTGGCTGCTTAAATTCTTACTAACATTTATTCAATATGGGTATGTTATTATTTTTTTTTAATAGGGATTCATTAATTCCGGTATGTGGTTTTTACGGCATTTTTCAAACTTGTTTTTGAAAAAGTAGCTTGATAATACACTTTGTTCGTTTGCTCGTTAGGTGCATATAAAAAAAAAATTTAACTAGACATCGTAGGTCGGGTATGTTTTATAAGCTCAGTTCCATCGAGTTATTAGCCGATCGAATAGTTAAAAGTCTTAAGATCAGTGTATTTATAGTACAATTCAAGGATTTTTTATTTTATAAGAAAAACACGTGATGAGGATGTTTAAAAATTTGAATGCATTCAGAAACTCAAGATTTATTTCTACCTTAAAAATATTTGATTCTCAAAAAATAATTTAATGTCAAATCCTGTTAAATTAAAATACAACGAAGATCCTTTGCTAAAGGCAAAGGCTTGCTCGCTGCGTCAAAAATGCGCTAAGATCCCTCGATCAATAACACGTGGACTTTTGTAATTTTTTTTAAATCCTAATATATGAACAAGAATTTTTGAATTTAGCAATTTTGTACTTTAACTCTTTTGAGTGTTGTGTTTAAAGTTCAATTTTTAACTTAGGTTTAAAAATTTAATAAAGTTGCTGTTCATTTTGTTAGCATGACTATGTATTCAAAGGATCTATGAAGTCTAATCAATTTATTGATATAACTTTGAAGTGCGTTTTAATCTTATCTTCAGGTTGTGATATGATAGAAACTCTTGTATAAATTGCATATACAATCCAATAGCCTATCAGAAATATTTAATCTTTTAATGGATTAGTATCTTAAATGTAACGGAACTTTCATACTTTTTGAAAAAATTCATGTGCTCGAAAAATATTTCGTTGATTATTTTCTTGAATGAAATATTTCGTCATTGCTGTTTAAAAGGAATACACTTAATAAAACGATGGTGTAAAGTAAAAATAATATTTGTTATATTTATGTAGTCAAACGGGATTATATTGCACAGTTAGATTTTTTCCAATCATAATATCAAGTACCTTTATTACAATCTATACGTTAAAATTTCACAGTTAAAGTGATTGATCTGCATTTAAATTTTAACAAATTATGCAAACACAATACTTTTGAAACCAGACACGTCTTATTAATTAGAAAATATCAGAATATGAACATTCATTTCGAGATTTACTAAAATCAATGTCGAGTGTTATATTTTAGAAAACAATGATTGTAATAACAAAAGATCAATTTTTATGGTTGTGAAATAAACATAATAACAGATGTCACCTGTTGAATACGTAAAGTACGACAGAAAAACGAAAAAGTATATAAGTAACGATTGCCTAGGACAACAAAACGAATGAAAGTAACACGTGAGCCAATCAATAATTTCAAAAAAAAATATGCCAAAGTATTTGAAAAAAAAACTATTTTTAGATTTTTTTGCCTTTGTAATAAAAAAAAATGTATGCGGTGAGGTGCGAAAAATGAAAGCATGTATAACAAATTATATTTGACTTTCTTGAAAGATACACAACAGTATTATGATCCAATGTTAATGCTTAATATTTTTTTTGTTTTGTTTTTATTTCAGCCGAAGTACCACCATACAGGCGACTTTCATTATCTGATAAAGATCGTCCATTATTAGATGCTTTAATATTAGAAGAAAATACACTAAGTCCGAAAAGACGTCACATTTGCAATGGACGCTTCCTGACTATGCATAAGAGAAGACGAAAGAAGCTGACAACTAGAAGTTTAGCGTTCGAACCAGCAATTATTGATGACATATTGCATGGTCAAGTAAAATGTGTATTGAGACAGGTCGGCAATTGGCGTTTTAATGCATTCACGTTAGAAACAGTTACTGGAGGTGAGTCTCTGAAAATAAAAAAAATAACTCGTTAAAAAAGTGTTGAAATTAATGTTTTTTTTTCTTTCAGGACGATCATTGCCTGTTTTATGTGTTCACTTGTTTCATCTATACGGCCTTTTGGACCATTTTAATCTAGATGTAGTTAGATTATGGAAATTATTTAGTCTAATCGAAGAGGGTTATCATAGCACAAACCCATATCATAACTCTATTCACGCAACAGATGTTACTCAAGCTATGCACTGTTTTTTACAAGAAACAAAAATATATGAACATTTGACGCCATTGGAAATATTGTCTTCTTTATTAGGTGCTGTAGCACACGATCTCGATCATCCAGGTGTCAACCAACCATTTCTCATAGCAACATCTAATCATTTAGCTGCTCTATACGAAAATACATCTGTTCTAGAAAATCATCATTGGCGTTCTGCGATTGGATGCCTCCTTGAGAGTGGTGTGGCTGAACAGATAGAAGAATTTCGACATGAAATGGAACAACAAATAAGCTCTCTTATATTAGCAACTGACATTACTCGTCAACAAGAATTTATAGAAAAATTTAAAGACTTTTTAAACAATAATACATTAAATATGCGAAATGCAGATCATAGACATTTTATATTACAAATTGCGTTAAAGTGTGCTGATATATCGAATCCATGCCGGCCATGGGATATATCTAAAAAATGGAGTCTGAAAGTTTGTGAGGAATTTTATCGACAAGGGGATTTTGAGCGTCAATTGAGTTTACCTGTTACATCGTTGTGTGATCGCCAAACAACAACCGTACCCAAAATACAAACTGGCTTCTTTAAATTTGTTGTCTCTCCGCTTATGGTTGAATGGCATCGTTTTCTTAAAACAGAATTATCATATCGTATGATGCGACATCTTAAATATAATGAAAAGCAATGGGATAGTCGATTACAAACTGAACTAGCTGAAGAAACACGCACTGAAATATCAGATGCTGAAGTATTGGAGGAGGATATTGATGAAGCAGATGATGACTCACGCATAGAATATGCTGGAAGCCCTGAAATGATTTTACCTGAAATTAAATCATCTCGCCGAAGCTCATTACAAATTCCAACATATTCATTAAAGGATCGAGAACGACGTCTTTCGGTTCCTCTTCATCCAGTTCCAAAAATAATTCTTCCTCCTCGTGATCATATGATGAGGCAAAATGAAGCATTACTTGAAAGTGATGAAAATGAGCATAGATTCGATCAAGATTCACTTTCATTACTTTCTTCAGACAGTGAAAGTGGTCCTCGAGCACGCTCATCAATAGAAAGCAATGATAATGAACGTCCATTGAGTGCTGAAAATCTTTTACCAGATTTGAATATTGCATCAATGACAGCAAGTGCATGTGCAGACAAACTAAATATTGTAATGCATGGATCAACTAATTTCCCACAACATATGCTTGGTGTTGTCACTAAGCATTTAGTGCGCCAACAAACGTTTCCACCGTTACAACCATATGTAAGAGCTCGATATATGTCTTCAACAGCTGATCTTGGTACTTGCCCAGAAGCATTACTTGAAAGCCATTCTCCAAGTAGTTCTTCAGAATCAACAGGTGAAAATGAAATGAATTTAATTTCATGCAAAAAAGACTTAAAACGAGAAACAGATCAATCTTCCGAAAAAGCATCAAAACTTCCTAAACTTTCGATTGGACTAGCACAAAAAGAAAATTTAGATCCATCTATGCATAGAAAAGGATTGACCAATCGCAGACGAGGTTCTGCACCAGTGACTGTCGCGCTTCCAACAAAGTCGGGTGATCAAGATGTCTCATTATCATATGTCATAAAATCTTCCGAAAAGTTTCGTCGATGTTCTGTTCCTGTGGAAACAATAACTTTAAGTAAGTAGCAAACAAAATTGGTTAAAACGATCGTTCTTTTCATCTGAATAAATATATTTCTAGGTGCCAAAGATTTTGTGGGCGCAACATCACAAGAAAAAATTTCTCATCCTGTGACAACATCATCTACAACACAGCAACAACAACAACAACAGCAGCAGCAGCAATATCAGCAAAATCGCCGTGGATCGGTACCATGCGGGAGTTTAAACGGAAAAAGACGTAGTCAGAAAAAATTTTTAAGACGGCGTTCATCAAGTGGAGCAATTGAGATTTTAACGCCAATTGTTAGTGAATCAATAGAGTCAACATCAAGCAATAATGCTAGTGGCAATTCTGCGTGGTATAAATTCAAAAAAGAATGGACAATTACACGACGCTCAGATCCAGAAACATTATTAACAAAAAGACGAGGTTCTCTTCCAATTGAAGTTTTAGCAATAGGTCTGGGTAAGTAGTATTATATCATTTTTTTTCCATTGAATTTTTAATGATTCAACCGAAAAGTTAAAAATTTGCCGTTTATTTTAAAAATCATTTATAAATAATTTTTTTAATAAATAACTTAGGTACTTTGCGGCATTGAAGAAAAAGGATAATGACTTCATATAGAAAGCAAAAGAAGATTGAAACTTATGGAATGAGTTTTTTGAAACATGCCATTAATGAAATTATTATGAATATTTTGATTTAATCATAATATCCAAATGAATTCAATAAAATCATACAAGAGTCTCATAAACTTAGTTAATTTCGAATAAAAAGCCATTTGAATTGTCCACATGTTGAGAATCTTCGGATCTTTAAACCGGAACAAAAATGTATAAACGCTAATAAAATTTCGAAAGCACAATAGAATGACTGAAAAAGTTCAATTAATGAAATTTGGCACAAAAAGTAAACATCAAGTAAGGAAAATAGCAATTTATGTTATTTAACAGTAAAAGATAAAATATGAACGTTTATAAAATATAAACTGCTTGAATTTATCATACTTTACGAAATTAAAGGAAATTTTTCGTTCAAATTTTTTCAACAATTTTTTTTTATTATCTTTTGATCTTTATTTAATTACTAAAGTTGATTAATGCATAAGTTTTTGATATAATATACGATTACAAAAAGAAAATTAAGTTTTATTGTATTTTACAGAATTGAATATGGAAAATTTATTACAAATAAATTTGATGAAATTTCATTAGCATTATAATAAATATGATAAGTAATATGAGAATTGTGTCTACTGTATAAAACGTAAAAAGGCATTTGAAAAAAAGAATTATTTTTCTTCTGGGCAGGTCCCACCATAATAGTTATTTATAGTATAACAAAAAAAAATAGTATGTAAGAATGTTTGTATAAAAAATATTCAAAGAAAAAAAAAATTAAAACTAATAATTGATAAATGATTGATTGTGTAAAATTAATATAATGTTTATAGGAATGAAACGCATAATTAACACTTAATAAAAATGAGAAAATCAAATTAAAATATAGTATGATGTCTGTTAAAAATTAAGAATTTTAATATTAATGCAGAAGATAAAAATTATCTTTTTTCCTACTATCAAACTTTATTACAATTATACACACAAATTTGAGTTTTTTGATGAAAATGCTCAGTAATCAAATCTTAGCTCATATAAATTAGGTGACGAATTTAAAAGTTTTTTTTTTAATTTTAATCTGATGATTGCTCTATATTCCGATTACTGGATATTTACCTTACATCTTATTTTAAAAAATACGCTACAAATACAATGCAGCTTATTTCAATTTCTTGCGTCATTTCCTTTCAGAAAACATTAAGTTAAAATCAACTTTCATGCTTGAAAGCTTGACAAAGATGTTATAATATCAACATATTCCTGTAAAGATAGAAATAAACGAACCCTTTCTGATATTTACTTTGATTTCAAACATAAGATAAAATTTATACGCTTAAAGGAATTTTGATCCCTTTTAAACAATTTTTCATAGAATGCTTATAATTTCTTTTTTACCTTTTAATACCTTTCATCCAAAATGTTTTTTTGATTTAATATCTTTTCTTATATTATTTGCACTCTAGTTTTTAATAATTATTTGAACAAGAAAATAGTTTAAAGCAATTCATACAAAAGTACAAAAAACCAAATTATCAAATTATAATCATAAAAAACATTGTTTTTGGCATTTTATTCCTTTATGATTTTATTTGCTTATTTATTTTTTTATAATTTTTTCCTTTTATAAGTCTAATAACATATTTTCTTTCCCACTTCTTCTTCTACTTTTCAGCATTCCTCAAAATGGATTGAATGTAATAGCTCTAAAACAAAAAAAAAATAAACAAATCTACAATCAAAAAATTAGATAAACACTATTTAATTAATTTTTAAACAGTACATGTAAATATCATGATTTTGATTTTCTTAGGTTTATGAATATTCGTTATTTTTTTCATTAAATATTGGATATTAACGGACGACATAATTGATCTTTAAGCATCTTCAGTTTTTTTTATTTGTATTTTTTTTCAGTAATACAATTTTTTTTTAATTTCATTTTAGGTACTATTTTTAATTTTTAAATAAAACAAGAGAAAAAAATTTACAAACTGAATAAGACATTTTATATTCTGGTTTGAAAAGCTGTGAAAAACGAAATAATATGATAAGTTATTTTACTCTGTTATTAAAATTGAGTTTGTCAATAAACTTATAACATAGAAAATTTATGCATAAGTTTTTGTTGAAAATTAGTTGCAAATCATAAGTTGATGATTACGTAAATTTTGAATTATCTTTAGATTATACTTTATTTATTGCAATTAGATCTAAGTTAAGTTAGATAAATATTTTAAACACTTATTTAGATTAAATCTATAATAAAACATTTGTACTCTATAAAAATGGCAATCAATTTATTGAATTAAATCCTCGACCATATTGACCAAAATCTTAATACAAAAAGAAACTGGAATAAAAATTTTTCTCGTACCAAATTGTTTCGAGAGTTAAAAAAAATATATTAAAAATGAATGACATGAAAAATGTACTAATGATAAAAAAATATATAAAAATTTTAAGCAACAGGGTTTTAATTGAGCTGTGTATATAAAAATCGAAAGAAAAAATATTCGATTGTTTCAAGTAAATTGCATAAATCACTTTTTGATACTTGCAATTTAGAAAATACATAAGGAAAATTAAAGCTGGAATTTAAGACTGTTATAATACACTTTCATTGAAAAAAAACGTGGTAAAAACAAATAAAATCACCAAAATCAAAAGAAAAGAAAGATAAAGTGAAAATTTGTGAATACCAACCTTCGGAACCAGAGTTTTACTTCAAATCGTTTTGCAGTATGTTGCAAAAATCTTTTCTTCGAATTATTGTTGGGCAATTCCATGGATGAATTGAATTCCAAAAAATAAATTTTGATAATCCATGTTCTTTGAAAATTGGATTCTTAGAAAATCAATTCAAATGAACTAACATGAATTAGAAATCAATTAAATATGTTTTTTTTATTTGAATAATTTTGCTATCAATATTTTAAATAATAAAACTATTGTTAATTAATTTAAATTTTAGATTTTAAAAATCCATTTTTTCTCGGACTAGGAATTTTGTTGCTTATACATATATGTTTTAATTAATTATTTTAACTAAGTTGGTATTTGAGTATAAAAAGCAAAAAAAAGGGATACAACCGACTTTAATCTATAGATTGGTCCATTGGAGAAGCTGTAAAAGTGCGTATGTTTGCAATTTGTTTCCGAAACTTGTCATAAGCAACATTTTCCAAAAAAATATATGTATGAGCAACAGGCATAAGAATGGAAATGTTTTGTTAAATTAAACAATATTGAATGAATTAAATTACAATTTTTGTGTAAAATTTCATCGATGAAATCGCCCTATATCATTTCAAAGAGTGTTTCATAAAACCTCATCTTATCCCTTCCTAATAATCTGCAGATTATTTAATTACACACTTTAAAAGTGTCAATCAAGTAGAACGGTGACCTAACGAATTGAATGATGTACTATATATGAGTATTTTGTGCTATTTTGTGAAAGCAGAAAAATAACTTTTTTTAAATTTTGTGCAGTTGCCAGTTCCGAGATATGCGCATCTGAAAACGGAGCTAGGGCCGATTTTTTACTTTTAACACTTTCGACTGTAAATCTGACATGGCTCGACGAAAACTGTTCAAACTTGGTCAGTAATTTGCTCAAATATTTCTTAATCAAATAAAATAAACGAAATATTTTTATCTAGCCTAACTGAAAACATATGGTGATTCTACCGAAAAAATAAGTTAATTTTGCATTAGGTCCTGTCGTAGAATCACCATATCTTTGCAGTAAGGCTAGATAAAAATATTTCGTTTATTTTATTTGATTAAAAAACATTTGCACAAATTACTGACCAAGTTTGAACAATTTTCGTCGAGCCTTGTCAGATTTACAGTCGAAAGTGTAAAATAGTAGCTAATCTGCATATTAGATTCGCGATATCTTTGCAAAAGTGTCATATAAAAATATTTCGTTTATTTTATTTGATTAAGGAACATTTGAACAAATTACTGACCAAGTTTGAACAGTTTTCGTCGAGCCATGTCAGATTTACAGTCGAAAGTGTTAAAAGTAAAAAATCGGCCCTAGCTCCTTTTTCAGATGCTCATATCTCAGAACTGGTAACTTCACAAAATTTTAAAAAGTTATTTTTCTGCTTTCACAAAAAAACACAAAATACTCATATATATTCACTTAATTCGTTAGGTCACCGTTCTTCTTGATTGACACCTTTAAATTGTCAAAATTAAATATAAGCTTAACCAGCAATAGACCTTCATTGTTTTGGAGACGCTTGAAAATAATAATTTGTGATGATGATGCTGGAGTAAAAAAGAATTCAAATAAACATATGAATGAGTTTGATTCATTTTAATTATTTTTTTTTAATTTTAAACAGGTATCTTTCATTATTATTATCTTAGTAATTGATGATGTTTAATTTTTAACTTATATTTTGAAATAGAATCTGGATTATTATTAAAAGTTCTAATTTTTTTTTATTTTGGAAAATTTGGAAATAATTCAATAAAAATTTTAAGCAAGAAATTGCAAAGAAAAAAAAATAGTGAACAAAAACAGTAATAAGTTTTGAAGAGAAAAATCTTTTTGGAGGCAAACTTAAACGTTTATTGAACAAAGATAGTAATAATAAAAATATTTAATAATAATTTAGTCATCGTGAATAAGATGAATTTAATATAAAACAATCCTTTTTGTGGAAATTATAAGCATATAATTAATATTCGGTGTCATATTATACATGTAAATGATAAGAATTATTGAATAATGATTAAAAACAATTGGAAAAATAAATATAAGATAAATGTGTAATGAAATATGCATATGGAAAAACAAAAAAAAAATCTAAAAATCAAGAAAGACTACTGTACCGGCTAATCCATAATAGCAATGAGAAAATGTTCATTTAAAATTAAATAATAATATAATATTGTAGATTTTAAGCCTGATTTTTATGAAATCTCAAAATATTTCATTATAAAAAGTAACAAACATAAAACTGAATTTGAAAAGAAGAACACAAAAATAAAAATAATTTTGATGAAAATTAAACCAAATAAAAATATGAAAATTAATATAAAGCATTTAACTATTTATTTTATTTTTATTTTCAACAGTTTGTAAGATAAAAGGTAAGTTTATATAACAAATGCAAATATAATCGTGAGACTCACGATTCAGAGTAAGTTAAATACAACTTGTAAAATGGGATGAAACGAAAATTTATTTCAAATTCCTAATATTCTGCATAATGTATAGTATTTTTTTGCCTAAAATATGGAAAATTATAAATATAATAGCTTTAAAAATAAGCGTGACTGTTGCTTACAAGTTTTACGTCATCCAAACATCCATATAATTCATTTATTTTAAGACAATCTGTTTGTGACAATGCTCTTCTCTGTCCAATTTTTTCATCTTTCATTTTTGCTAGAAGAGTTGATTTACCCTTTTGTTTTGAGAAATATGAAGATCCATAATGCATAATTGAGTTCTATCATACAGAATTAGAAAGACTTATTTAAAAAAAAAATTAATATTTTAGATTAATAAGATTCCCTACATAATCATACTCAAAACTGTATGTTGTGTTATCTAAAGACTGCTTTTCAAAGTTACCCTTGTAATTTGGAATTATCTAAAAATATAAAATTTTGAATGATGTTACATTTACAAAAACGCTTTATTTAATTTTACTAACATTATCCCATATGACTTTAACAAATCTATCTCGATCATTTCTTGATTGTTCATGAAATATTCCAATAGCGTGCAAAATTTCATGAATTGCTCTACCTTTATTCAAAAAAATCATAGGTATGGATTAAAATTTTGTTTTAAAAGTATAAGTTAAAAATTGTATCACTGTGCATATATCATACCTTCTCCACCTAAAAAGTTAATAGTATATAAGTTTAGTATTTTTCTTCCTCTAAAATTTTGAATTACTTGCCTAAACAATTTGGTCCTGATTTGTCTGGTGGCTGAAGTGAAAGGATTTGTGGTCCACCAACCTTACCTACGAAGCTCCAACAACCCTATGAAATAAAATATATCAGACACTTGAGAGGTTGTTCACTTATTACGTTATGCAAAAAAAAATCCTTTGTTTGAACTGAGACAGAATCGTAGACACGTCTTCTCTAAAAATTGTTACGTAATAAGTGGCCCCTAAGTGGACGACCCCTAATTTCATTTTTTTAAATACAAAATACATCAATTTATATTATCTAGTGAAGCATAAAAAAAAACTCTCGAATGAGAACTGACGAAATATCCAAAACATGCATGTCTTGCTTTTCAAATACTCATACCTTAGGATATTTAATTGGCCATATAAGCAAAAAATCTTTCTGACTTCCGTTCCATTTTGGAAATTTTAAGCAAGTTATTCGACTTATAGTTTGTATAGCTTGATAAATTGTAATCATATCTTCAGGTTCATAAAGCGGAGAAATCGCATATGGAACTGTCCGATTTGGCCAAAGTCTCTTTGGAAAAACATCCCAACGCAGCCCAACTCGCCAGTAGTTGAAAATATCGTTATTTAAAGCGATATCTGTTTGATTAAAAGAATTGATTAATATTCGTGCTAATGAAAATTTAATAAAATCAAACCTCCTTGGAATAAATTGGGTGTTACTTCAGGATCTTGATCTTCGAGCAGTGGATCATCGACTTTGACTGCAAAAATATTCACACTTTTACTTTTTAATAACTAACGGAATGATGTACAATACCTACAGTCTTGTGGTAAAAGCGAATCTCTATCAATTATATCGGGAACATTTGGAAAAATAACTTTTGGTTTTACTTCTAATATCTGAAATATTGTTAAAAACATAAGAACAATTGAGAATTTCACTCGCAACATTTGTAGGTAACTTTAAGTCAACTTATTATACTAAATTTGCTTTAAATTATCAACTGTTTTTAAAACCAAAGATATTGAATTAATCGCAAAAAATGTCTATATGCAGTAAATCTCACAAAACAACTGAACATATACCGAAAACATTTCTTCGATTCATTGGTATAACGGTTCTTTAGAACAACAACAAAAACAACTGATAATGAATTTACGTTAGAAGAAAAGTCGTCAAGAATAAAACCAATGGTAAATATCGACAAAGAAAAAGCAATAGTATAGACATACGAAAGCTCAAAAATGATTCATAAAATTAGTATCTCTCTTAGTATCTCTTTTTAAATTTCAATACATTAATACTTAATAATTTCTACTTTTTTTTAAATCTAACATAAATGCATGTTGGTTACTATTATACTTATTAATACTTATTTTTATTAATGAGTTTTAATAATTATTCCTCACGGCTTCAATTTGATAACTATTGACAAGGTGAGGATTTAAATCATAAATCAAAATCAAAATCATTTTGTAATGATTTGATAATTTTTGATTTAAATCATTTTACCCAAGTGATTTATTTTTGATTTATGATTTAAATCATTTTGTATGAAAGATTTTTTTGTATTATATGATTTAAAAATTTGATACGAAGTCATTTAAGAATGAAGCACTATTTCTGAGCATGTTTTTTTAATCTTCAGGCACTAAATGAACATGTCGGTTTCGCAAAAAAAAAAAAATTGTTTCAGGATGTGATTCCTTGATTAAAATGAAATAATTTTTTTTTTTGAAATGTAAAGGAACTGGGCAGTTCCAGTATTGAATCATTCCTTTGGTTAAGAAATACAAACGTATACCCCCTTGACAATGAAAACTTATCAAAAAACACTTTAAAGGGACTGAAAGTGACTAGTTCCTCATATGGAGCTATATCCATTCATGCTTTATCATGTATAGCTGTACCAACAAAATCAATGGTTGCTGTCAATTTTCCAATAGCCAGAAAGGAAATCCATGATTAATAATTTATGATTTGTAATAATCATCTGAAAAATTCCAAACAAATTTTCACCTTCAATTGATTTAAAATCCCAAAAAAAAATCCCCATACAATGTGATTTAAATCATAAATCACAAAACAATCTTTCATACAAAATGATTTAAAACTTAATTCACAAAAAACTCTTTCATAAAAAATGATATAAATCATAAATCAAAAATAAATCACTTGGGGAAAATGATTTAGATCAAAAATAAATTTTCAAATCATTTTTTTGTGAGATTTAAATCAAAAATCACAATTTGATTTGGGATTTTGATTAAAATCGCAAAAAACTCCCCCACCCTGATGATGATGATGCAGGATGACAAGCGAACAGACAAACAAAATGTAGACAATAGAGTCATTTAAAATCAAAAAAAAAAGAATATTGAGGTACGGCTCCTCAGCTTTGCATATATGATTGAAATTACGAGAAATATTCTCACGATTCTACTCATTTTTATCTCATTCACGCTGTTTCTACTGCTATTTGCTTTTTCGGAACATTGAATTAGATAAATATTCCAAAATTGATACAATTTGAAATTATTCAAAGCACGCACTATGGGGCAAAATGAAAAAAAAATCGATGATTCAAAATTTTTTTTGACTTTTTCGAGTTACGATCTTCGGGTGATTTTTTCTTGTAAAGGACATCAAAACTGGATTATGTTCCAAATTTCAGGTCATTTGGTGCTGTTTTTGCGATTCTGTGGCTGTTTGAAGTTGGAAAATGACGAAAATTTGAATTTTTTTATGCATTACTTAAACTGCAATTTCTCTACAATGGCTAAAGATATTGAAAAAAAATTTTCAGTTCCTAATAGTAACATATAAGAGCTTAATTTTGATGTAACCTCAATTTTGGAAATATGTAGTTTTGATTCCGATATAGTACAAAGTATATGAAAATCCTATGAAAATTATCTTTAAACGTGCCGCAACTGTCCTAAACGGCCATTTCCCCCCCCCCCCCCCCCATAAACCATATATCAGTGCAAAGCTCTTGTTTTCTAGTTTTCAAAACAGTAATAACATTGTAATTCTGTAGAGGACTAGAAAAGTTATCGCAGTTTAAGTGATATAGTTTTGGTTCCGATATAGTACAAAGTATATGAAAATCCTATGAAAATTATCTTTAAACGTGCCGCAACTGTCCTAAACGGCCATTTTCCCCCCCATAAACCATATATCAGTGCAAAGCTCTTGTTTTCTAGTTTTCAAAACAGTAATAACATTGTAATTCTGTAGAGGACTAGAAAAGTTATCGCAGTTTAAGTGAGACGGCAAATATTTTACCAAAATTAAAATTTTCTCATAACTGTATAGAAAAAATAACCACAGATAAGGTTTGTTCTGTTTTTCAATGCCTAATGTTATTTAAAGATGACCTGCGAAGAAATTTTTTCAAAAAGTTCAAAATTTGTCGATATATAGGGTACTTTTGATATCTGACGACTTGTATGTTTTTTTTATCACTCAAACCACTAGTACTCTTAGAAAATTAAATATTTTTGAATTTTGTTTTTAGTTTATTGTAGCTTAAATTAGTACCTTTCTAATGATGTATAATACTTGATAGTTGACTTTGATCTTGGTCATGAATATGAGGCTTGTTTGTGAGCGACCCTAAAATACAAAAAATTTAAAATTTAATGACTACTATTAGAGCAAATTGTTAGAAAAAGGTTTAATGTATTAAAGAAAATAATAATAAAATAAATTTTGCCAAAATAAGTGTGAAATTTTAAATTTTTGAAAATTTACCTTTGCTGTTTGCCCTTCTGTAGGCTTTTTGATGGACATAAAAAGCTTTAACTTTTTTCAGGACACATATTTTTACATTCTGTTTTCGGTTATTGCTAGTTTAGATCAATACCTTTAAAATGATGTATAATACTTGTATGAAAGTTCATTATAGCTGCTTCTGGAGTAAATTGAATGTGACCGACGCAAGCTGAACTTTAACAAAATAGCCAAAATCCAAAATTTATCAAACAAAAATATTTTAAACTGACTTATTTTTCTTAAAATCTGTATAAATATGAAATATCAACCGATAAGCATCCAAGAAATAGTGTAATACTTGGGAATTTTCGACCCAATAAAGACTACTAGGATCGTACTTAAACAAGCTACCTGAGATGGCCAAAAGTTTATAAAATACAATTTTTTGAGTGTTTTTAGTCATAATTATCATAAATCATCATAAAAAACCAAAACTCAATACTTAATTTTGTTTCCAAGTGGTATTTCTAGAAATGACGTTTTTGAGATTTTTTCTAGTTTAGGGTCGCTCACAAACAAGCCTCATATTCATGACCAAGATCAAAGTCAACTATCAAGTATTATACATCATTAGAAAGGTACTAATTTAAGCTACAATAAACTAAAAACAAAATTCAAAAATATTTAATTTTCTAAGAGTACTAGTGGTTTGAGTGATGAAAAAAACATACAAGTCGTCAGATATCAAAAGTACCCTATATATCGACAAATTTTGAACTTTTTGAAAAAATTTCTTCGCAGGTCATCTTTAAATAACATTTGTCATTGAAAAACAGAACAAACCTTATCTGTGGTTATTTTTTCTATACAGTTATGAGAAAATTTTAATTTTGGTAAAATATTTGTCGTCTCACTTAAACTGCGATAACTTTTCTAGTCCTCTACAGAATTACAATGTTATTACTGTTTTGGAAACTAGAAAACAAGAGCTTTGCACTGATATATGGTTTATGGGGGGGGGGGGGGAAATGGCCGTTTAGGACAGTTGCGGCACGTTTAAAGATAATTTTCATAGGATTTTCATATACTTTGTACTATATCGGAATCAAAACTACATATTTCCAAAATTGAGGTTACATCAAAATTAAGCTCTTATATGTTACTATTAGGAACTGAAAATTTTTTTTCAATATCTTTAGCCATTGTAGAGAAATTGCAGTTTAAGTAATGCATAAAAAAATTCAAATTTTCGTCATTTTTCAACTTCAAACAGCCACAAAATCGCAAAAACAGCACCAAATGACCTGAAATTTGGAACATAATCCAGTTTTGATGTCCTTTACAAGAAAAAATCACCCGAAGATCGTAACTCGAAAAAGCCAAAAAAAATTTTGAATCATCGATTTTTTTTCATTTTGCCCCATAGTGAGTTTGTCGTTTTCTAATTGAATTGACTTATTTAATTTATCGACCGTGACTTACTTATTTCTAGTTTCAACTAGTTCATATGTCAGTTCTTGTAATTTATTCTGTTCAATTTCTAATTTGTTGGAAAATTCTGATTAAGCTATTTCAAGCTTGTCTATCATTCTTCTTAGTTCTTCGCAATCCTGTGTTTTATGTTCAAGTTCTTTGTACATTTCCTTGGATTTTGAATTGTCACAAACTTGCAATTCATTAAGCTCTTTTAGTCCAAATATAAGTTTTGTTTGAACCGGAATGCATCCTCACGATATTTGTTAAGTTTTTTGAAAGTTTTGCTTTCATCCTTTTTTAATTCCTCTATTTCCATATCTTTTTCAGCTAGTTGCATTTCTAGAATTTTAATTTCTTCGCGTTGTCTTTTTATCGAGTTGATTTATCTACACAATTCCTCCTTTACATTGTTCATTCGAGCTTCTGAAGTCATTGGTGTGCTATTAGTGTTTTTAAGTGGATCTCGATGTAAGAATTTTGACATTTTGGTAAATGACTGATTATTTCCATCACACTCAATAATTACACAATCAATCATTTTAATTTCTGATGTTTGTTCCTGAACTTTCTTTTGCAATTTATTAACAGTTAATGAGAGTTCTTCATTTTGATGCTCCATTATCTGGAGTGCATTTTGTAATCGTTGATTCTCGTATGCCATATCTGGACGGGCTAGGAAATCTAGACATTGTCTCTGTGATTCTTCAAAATTTCGATTGAACATATTAATTGTTTCTAATAGCTCGAGGGTTTGATATCTATTCATAAGAACTCGCACATTTTCAGCTTCAGCTTTGGACAGTCGCTTCTCGTACTCGTCGATTGCAGCGTTATTCATTTTACGCTCATTTGTAAGATCTCGG